ATGGCACTACTTCTGTAAATTTACACAATGCATCAGGTGAAACTCGCGAAATGTACACGTAGAACTATACGTTTGAGATCTACGAACTACGAACCAAATGTAGTATTTCCTCGGTGCACATTTACTATGATATTAATACGGCTTGTTCGAGTAGTTGCAATATCAGAAACACCCGGAGGTGGTCGGTTTGCTGTGATCCTGGATTTGACGCGAAGGTTAATTCGTGGACGATACGACTAACGGAATTTGACGGTAACATGATAACACTGGCGTGGAAAAATGATCAATATTAAAACATTTGCTAAAAACAATAATGTATCAACAGTGTTTCATATGGCGCCTCAGAACGAACACCAGTGTTATTAAGTAATGGAAACGCATCCGCCATCCCAAAGTCCACGCATATGATCATGTTCGGTGGTAATGATCAAAATAAAAATAAAACCACTTGTTATAGTACAAACCAACTGTGTGAGATGGATTTTAACCATGTACGCGTATAAAATGACCTAGGATCGTTTTCAAGTTGATTAACTGCGAAAGGTTTACTTCAAAGAATAACAGCCAACACATAGGAATGCTTTGAAATAATTGTTCTTGTAATACGTACCTACAACTAATATGTGTATAAGAACTCTATTCTATCGTTTTAACGTGTTCAGGTTTATGAACATTCAAAATATTACGACATACCGACACGCATCGAACAAGTAGATTTTGAAATTAAACAGGAATTGCAGAACGAATAGTATTTATTATACTTTTGAATTTGCAAACCCAGTAACAATGCTGTCTGTGGTCATCACTGGTAAAGTGTAAAGATTTTTAATGACATTTTCCAAATTTTAGCTCAACTTTATCAATTGTTTTAGTTTTTTAGTTAGTCGAAGTATTAATTAAAAATTATTGTTATGACATGTCTAATACGGTTAAAAATTGCGCTTACATATTAAGGGTCATATACTGATGTGGAAGAAATGTTGTACAATTGCAATAACCAGCGGGTCGTAAAAGTGTAATTACATTTAAGCAATATATGTGGAGTATTATGATGTTCGAATAAAATATGATTTTCGTGCTTTTTATGACATCTGTACTTATGTTTCTTTTTTGTTTTAAGTAATTACAATTAGGAATGTTAACTTAGACTCTGAAATGCACTATTGTCCTGAAATTGTATGCTGCATATTGCATATTGGATCGAGTTAATGCTTAGACTCATAATTATTATTGCTTACCTTATTGATATAAATTTTAAAAAAATATATGTACTTTGATCGAATTAAATCCATGGTTATTTTATTATAATTTAAAATATGTTTTGCAATATTAAATCACAATGTTATTCAATGACGAATACATCTAAAACGAGTTATCATCAAATATATATTTTTTATTGCCAAATAAAATATGTTTGAATCGTTTAAATACATGTTCAAAAAGTATTTGTTTTATTGGCAGTTGGATTACTTGGTTTTGATTTGATATTATTTACGTTTTATTCCAATAATATATTTTGTTGACAAAATTAATTTAAAACAATACAATAGTCTATAATTTTCTTTTAAATTTATGAAACGATTAATTTTCACAGTCAGTCCCGTGGCACACTCCGATAGCGACAGTCGTAAAAATAAAATTTAGTGCGTTATCTAAATCACGACGTTTTATATTAGAACTATATTAGAACAGTACTATATTAGAAGCATTATGTCAACATAATATTATCCCCTCTAGCCCCATCACCTGCCTCAGAGCAGGTATACAACTTGAGGGATATACCCACATACTCAGTTTTAGAAGACAATTATTTGTTAAAACAGAAGATACACCCAAAATGCCCAGTACCATACTCATAAGCTATGACGGAACAAATTAACGTATATTCATATATGACGATCAAGTAACGTGTTTCAGTTGCTAGATGACCGGCCATGTAGCCTCAAAATGTCCGTTTAGCATTGAATCACAGATCGACAACATTGGAGATAGTAACGAACCTACTGACCTCATTAATAACAGTTGGATAGATAACACAGACTCAAATATACTCACGGAAAATATAAGAAATAATGACTTTATTAATAATGAAAATTTAGAAATGGAAATTGACCTGACGACGATAACATCCGATAAAGGAGGTATTAAAAGAGCGGCATCAAACTCCACCACTTCCAACGTCACACAGGATCAAATTAATGTAATTAATAAAACCGGAACAAAAACCACCGATGAGGAAAAACAAACTATTACCGTATCTACTGCAACAAAAAATCAAAAATATCAAATTATCAAAAAATCTAAAACACTAATAAGATCGAAATCAACAGAAAAACTTATCGACAACGTTAATAATCATATTGAACCGGTTAGAAACAACCGGTTAACGGCTAGAAACACAATAGAAAATAATAAAGATCTAAATATAAACTTAGACTAACTTAAAAATATAATAATAAATATACAAAGTAACTCAGACCCTATCGATATCTGCAAACAATATGGAACAGATACCAAAACTTTACAATTGAGTTGGACAGGCTGGCAATTAAATCGCAAAGATTGAAAAATAGATTAACACGATTATCAAACAAACTATTTGAATCGATTAATTTAGAACACAACGTAGCAACTACTTTAAATACGGAAGACCGTTCATTACCTAATGATAACCCAACTGATTAGTAAAGCCATTAACTCTATCAACAAATATTACGATATCTTACATATATATATATAACCAAATACTCTCATAATCAATTGATACCCAACATCCATACCAAACACAATAATTAGCATGCATAAAATTAATTTAAACAAAACAAATACAGATCATAATATATTACAATGGAATATTAATGGATTCTATAAAAAAATTGACGATCTCAAAAGATTAATTCATAAATACTCTCCCTTGGTAATCTGCTTACAAGAAACAAATTTCCCCGAAAACTACATCGCTGAACTTAAAGGTTACTTCGGTTATTCAAAAAACCGTTCCATCAGTGGTCGAGTCAGCGGAGGCGCATCAATCTACGCAAACTCATCCTTTCCCTCCGTAGAAATCAAAATCACCTCTAACTTCGAAGTAACAGCAATAACTTTTCACATAAAAGAAAAAATAACGATTTGTAACATATATCTTCCTAACCAACATGATTTCGAAATCGAAAATCTAGAAAATATAATTAATCAATTACCACGTCTTTATATACTAACCGGTGATTTTAACAGTTATAACACTCAATGAGGAAGTACGCATATCGATATTAAAAAAAAATAGAAAAAATGCTTGACCATAACTATATCACACTACTAAACGACGGAAGCCCTACGCACTTCAATACCGCCAATGGATCCGTATCGGCTATAAATTTATCCTTTTCGTCCGCAAATATATCAACCAATCTGACTTGGGTGGTGGAACAAGAATTATATAACAGTGACCACTGGCTTATTATTATAAAAATCCATAACAAAGACTCTAATTTAATATATAAAACCAAAGAGAGATGGAACTTAAAAAAACCTAATTGGGAATTATTTTCAAATACAATTCAATCTGAACTTGAAAAATGCCTCCCATTGGGAGATAAAAACATAGACGAAATAGTTCATATCTTCACAGAAATAATATATAACACTGGAATGAATATAATTAAAAAAAATAAATACAGCGGAACCAAAAAGCCCGTACCATGGTGGTAGGAAGAATGTAAAAACATAATTAAAATCAAAAACAAAGCCTTAAATAAATTTAGAATAAGCAGAAGCATAATCGATCTAATTGAACTTAAAAAACAAAGAGCTAAAGCTAAATACATTATAAAAAATTTTAAAACAAACTCGTGGAACACTTTTACGTCATCAATGTCCTGCCTTGAAAATCCTAATGTAGTGTGGAACAAAATAAAATCAATAAAAGGAGTTCAAAAATTAACGGATATCAAATCACTCAAAACTAATAATAATAAAACCATTATTACAGAACCGATAGAAATAGCAAACGCACTAGGTGAATATTTTCAGGAAATAAGCGATAATAATAACTTTGAACCAAATTTCTTAAAGCACAAATCCGAAATCGAAAAACAAAATATAAACGCTAAGGAATCAACCACAGTTGAACATAATGATACACCAAATCTAAATTTGATAATAACAAGAAAAGAACTCGACAACATTATTAATGAAAATAAGAGCAACTGTTGTGGACCCGATGACATCCCCTTCATATTTATTCAAAATCTACCTGAAATAGGAAAAATTACATTACTCGAAATATTTAATAAAATGTGGACACAACACAAGTTCCCAAAAAAATGGAAATAAGCTACTATCATACCTATTCATAAACCTAACCAAAATAAATATGTAGTACAAGGATACATCCCTATATCGCTATTATGCACAATGAGCAAAATATTCGAAA